AAAAGAGCTTTTGGGCAACAAAAACCAGATGTGAGTTTGGCGCAAAGTCATGCAGACAAAAATTTAATCCCTACTGTGAAGAAAACGACGGATCCGTGATGCTTCCAAATAGTTTTGAATGTTTTAATAGGAACTGGGAAGCGAAACAGGAATGTGAAGGGACCCAAAGCATGTTTTTCTCACTGCTGTCGGAACTTGTCCCGTATCTTGATTTTTGACGTTTTTCATTTTTTGACATAAAATCTGACAGAAATTTCATGACGAATTGGTCAAAAGAAATAACCCAAAATCACACTGACTTACATTAAAAGTAAAGTATGTTTTTTCCTTCTCCTGTAAAGTTGCCATCTTGGAGATACGATATCTTTTTTTAATGGGTGGTTTGAGGACTCTTCTCTCACTGAAAAGTTAACTTTTTTTTTTTTACCAATTTTAATCAAATTGTTTACTAAGAAATTCTTAAAATTTACTTACCAACGGTGCCAACAATTCTGAAGAGCACTATAATCCGTGCTCTGACACGGCTTTCGCCCCTTAAACAATGTCAAAAATCGTTCATTTTTTATTTTGGTTCTACATTAACACACTAACTAGAGATTTTCACAAAAGGCATGGTTTTCTATTTAAGAGAAATCAAAAAGAAAATAAGACTTATTTGCTTCTATAGCAAATAAATACTGAAAAATTCAAAAACATGCATGCCTTCCTGGCTCCGTCTGATTCAGAAATACTCTGTTATTCCTTCAGAATCAGCCAGCAGACCCCGCAGTTTAATACATGTCAGCTCTACGTAATTCTAGGAACTGTACCTCAGAATTATGATCTGTTTTCTACTGTATACACTTTGCCTGTTTTTTATCAGTTCCTACATAAACTAACTAAAGTACATCTCTGAAATAGATAGTGTCTTTACATTACGATGTACACAGTACAATGTTTGGCAACATGGAGCACTGAGTACTATAATAGTCATGCAAACAAAGCATTAAAGGAATGAAAAAAACAAAGAGATGAAGAAGGAATGAGAAGCAAGTTTCTAAACCAGTATAAAATGCCACAGTGCGGTTCACCCAAAGCCATGAGACATGGGCTACAGTTTGAATGGACTCCCTTCAATGTTTAAGGCCTTGAAACAATCTACAGCTTCTGGAGTCTCACAGGGCCAGACATGACCTTGTAATGAGAACACTGGGCGACAAATTACGGGCTAAATGTGGGGGGTGTTGACTTATTAAGGTGGGAACAAAATGTGTATGAAATTTCTTAAGTAATTCAACACCTCGCGAAGTTGTAGCTCACTGTAGGGGGCGCTGATGCACTTGTCAACATCTTTCAAAGGACAACAAAATCTGTCGTTAGAGCAGGGACGTAATGTCCCAAAAAAGCCCCCCAAAAACTGTGTAGTGTGTAGATGTGTGTAATAGAGAAGGTAAAAATGACCTCTTATAAGGGAAAACGGTTCTGTTAGCCAACGATAGTGCTTCACTAGCTAGTAGGGCTAGGCAATATTACAATATACATCAGTATCGCGATTAATTATGTCACAATACAATACAATACGCTTTTCTGAGCATTTCGTTTATATCACCATACATGTAGACACTGACTGACTGCATGTTTCAGTAGAAAGAGAGCAAAATTGGTCCCGTTTAACTGAATTTGATGCCAAATATTGAATAAAATTCATTGCGTTCACAGTTTTTGATAGTATTTTTAAAATGGAACTCTACTGGTTCTTTTTTCTCTGATCAGACGTCTGAAAAATATATGTACTGTGTATCATCAAAATGTCTAATTATAGCAATATTATATTTTTGCCATATCGCCCACCTTTACTAACTAGCTTGTTTTGCTTGTTATTCATCATACTCCAGATGTTAACAGAGCGAGCACGAGCAGAATCTGGTGGGTGTGGTTTTGAGGGGGTTTACCAGTGTTAGTGGTGTAATTTCACTGCAATCCAGCAAAAGCTTAACAAGCTGCCTCCAGGTGTATTCTCGTTACAATATCACGTCTAACCCTGAGAGACTACAGCATTTGGTCTCACCATAAACAAGGACATTTTTCTGATTTTTTAGCCTAATTACAGAGTGTTTTCAAGATTATTTTGTTTGCACTTATATTAAACTGTGAGCCACAAGTTCCTTGCCTGGTGTAGCTGGGGGAAGAGGTACATTAGTACCCGAAGAAATTAGATGCTGTAAAAAAACTTTTCTTCGAGACTCTCAACAAGCAGATTGCACTGAAATTTAGAAAGAATCTCTTTACGGTTATGAAGCCTCCTCAGAACATCTGGTCTCTGGTAGTACATGAAAACAAACCATAAAAGAATCCCTAAAAATATGAACAGACCCAAAATAAGGCAACAAAAATACACTTAAGGCTACTGCGTTTAAAACTCAGGAGCTCAGCCATGAAACAAGTTCCCTTTGTTAACAAGTTCGGAGGCTAAATGATCAATTCATGCTCTGACCTTAATAAACAGCTGTGCCAGCTTGGCTGAGCTGTACAAAAGTGTGGTAAAAATCCCAATTTAACGAGCGACTGTAGTAAATGTGTTTGTCAAAATACCAAATTTTGTGGTGTGTTATTAATTTCAAACATGCACATCTGCATGTGAAAGGTCACAGATATTAGACTGTGTTTTCTGTTATGTTATCCTAACAGCTACACGTAGCATCCATAATACAATCTCCTAACTTTGTAGACACTTTGCGTGGCTCAACATTTGTTTCCTTGGAATCTAGACATTTTCAGCTCTGTGTGTTTCTACATCATCATAGCACAGCCTGATTTTGTTGAAGCAACATATAGTTGCTCTTTCTGTTTTTGCTGTAATGTTGGTATAAACGCCAAATACAATGTGGTTGGTAACTTTAGTCATGCTGAAGTAGATGGTGGAGTAAACTAGGCTGTTGAATAAGCTAGCTATCAATGCTAAAACAGCTCTAAAACTCTCTGCCCAGCCCATTAATCCACTGTTTAATAAATACATAAAGCACTCTTATGTATTAATAGGGCCATCTAGTGGCAAGAACCTGGTGAAAATGATCGGTATCCTGATACAGGGGTTACGATTCAATATACTGCGATATATTGCAATAATGTAAACAAGGCAATATATTTTTTAGGAAAACGGACACGAGCAAACGATAAAGTCTAATTGCTAAAGATAGATTACAACACCACTATCTAGTGGTCGGGGTTTAAACAACACAAAATGAACAACAGTCAGCCGCGATTTTTTGCGTGTAAACTATTAATTAAAAATCGACACTTTTTGAGAATCGATTCAAGCTAATTCCATTTAAGTGAAATAAAGCTGTGCACTACTATTTCTCAGTAGGTTTCTCAGTGAGATTTCAGCCACTGCTCTGTAAAACTTTCCAACCTGGTAACAGTAGCTATGAGAGACCACAGAGCACGGATAGGTCAGTTAACCAACTTGTCCTCAACACTGCATTCACTTTACAGCAAAGCAAACAACTGAAGTGTTAGCCACATCGCTAAAGTGTTCTTTGTACAGCCCCCATAATCCTTGGAGGTCAACTCCCACCAGCATCTATATAAATCAACCAAATTTGCTTTGCTGTAATGTAAATACACTGATAGATCCAACAAAAACTCTGAGACAATGATACATCACAACACGGGTGGGACGTATACTCATATAAAAGTGAATAATATGACGTTGTCGCTCGATATAGATTCTATACCATTGTAGATACCTTCAGCCCAAAAATACTAAACTACAAACAGACCCTTTCCCCATACAGGTTTAACACTGAACAGCTCTAATGATTCTTAGAAACCCAACAGAATATATGACACAAGAATTAAACGTTTACAACTATGTACAGCGCAGATTATTTCTTTGCAATGTGGAAACTTTCTTTTCACGTCACGTTACGTTACTTTATAATGCAGAGTGTTAAAATGGAAAAGCACACAGTCTTTGTTAGCAACAGCGAATTAAGAGACTAGCGGCAAAATGCTAATTAGAATTGATGATAACAGAAAAGTGAGAATTACTTCCAGAAAGCGAAGATTTCCTTATTCAAAGTTTAAAACACAAATGTTATCATGAGGCCCGAAACATACTTCACGCAAGGACATGAACCAGACGCTTCGAGCTACGCAGATGGTGTTTCATGCGTAGCTTCAATCAAAAATGCATTCTGAGAATTACAGCAGAGGGCGCTATATTGACAGCCAAGCCCATCCAAGCGGTCTTGTACCGCCAGTGCATTTTCTCAACTGCCACAGCAGAAGAGCAGTTGAGTCTCACGCAAAAATGGCTTAAATTAACGTTTAAATATGATACATTATCGCCTTTCCATTCCAACAGAAGAGGTAAAGCAGCTCACTCTCCTCTACTTGTCCACGTTTGACTGTTGAGGCTGCTGGAATAACAGTAGATCACTCTCTAATTTATCTTCTATCGCCCCCTTCAGTACCGAGTGTTTTAACCACTGCAGTACCATAAGAACGCATACGGAGTTTGTACAGAATGACAGAGCATGTGCAGCACGTTGGCCAAGCGTGGTCATCTGCGTTCACGTACTTGCGTGGAGTATGTTTCTGGCCTAAAGCTGCACTTCACAGCTAAAGACAGAAACACCAACAGCCACACAAATATGCGGGAGCTACTAGAAAGTGTGCGAAAGACTGCAAATATATGAAGATATATGAAGATTTTGTAGTAATAATAAGTTTAGTAATGATAAATTATCATTGCTGCTATAATTATTCTCATAATTATTATAATTATTATTATGGCTATCAAGTCAACACCAGCTACTCAAAGCAAAGTTTGCCAAGAACTTTTGCCTGAGAAATGGCAAAAAAACAGAGAATTAATCCTTAAAGTGAGTGCGCACATGTCGCTGAAGGTTACTCTGTTCAGTAAAACTCCTCCCGCACCAAGCACAGACGTACGGCTTCTCTCCTGTGTGGGTGAGCTGGTGCCGCTGGAGGCTGCTCTTGTGGGTGAAACTGACCCCGCACTCCGGGCAGTCGTACGGCTTCTCCCCCGAGTGAATGCGATGGTGCAGCTGGAGGCTGCTCAGCTGAGTGAAGCTCTTGCCGCACTCCGAGCAGTAATACGGCCTCTCTCCGGTGTGAGTGCGGTGGTGCTGTTGGAGGTAACTCTGCTGGGCGAAACTCCTGCCGCAGTACATGCACTGATACGGCTTCTCTCCCGTGTGAACACGCTGGTGTTTCTTCAGATGGCCTTTGTCGATAAAACTCTTGCCGCACACTGAGCAGTCGTACGGCTTCTCTCCGGTGTGGACGCTCTGGTGTCGCTGGAGGCTGTTCTTATGAGTGAAGCTCTTGCCGCAGAGCGGGCAGTCGTACGGCTTCTCTCCCGAGTGAATGAGCTGGTGGCGCTGGAGGCTGTTCCGGTGAGTGAAGCTCTTCCCGCAGTGCGAGCAGTCGTACGGTTTCTCTCCGGTGTGAGTGCGCAGGTGCAGCTGGAGATCACTCTGCTGAATAAATCCCTTCCCGCACTGCGAGCAGCAAAATGGTTTCTCTCCTGTGTGAACGCGCTGGTGGCGCAGGAGATCGCTGTGTTGGGTAAAACTCTTCCCACACTCTGCACAGAGGTGAGCTCTCTCCTTACCGATTTCGGACTCCTCTCCTGTGGGAGATTCATCAGTGAGGAGATCAGCGGAGGACGTCGGCTGATCTAACCCCGTATCAGCAATCTGCAGAAATCCTTGCGGTGGAATCTCAGGATGCAGCGGTAGATACAAATTGGTGCCGGGCACACACAGCAAGATAAGACCGGAATTCATTTTTCAGTTCTGGAGAAGAAAAGAAACAAAACATTAGAAAATCTAACATTCGACAAACAAACGAGTGTCTGTCATTTCTGTCCCAGCTCATGAGTAGCTTTCATTTGGATGAGGAGTTAAACTGGCTGTGTTAGAACATATTCGATATACAGTTTGGTATTAATACCAAAAAACATTTCAAAGATAAGCACCGCAAACAAAACACGTTTGGTACTGATTGTGATGCTGAGATCAAATTCTTAAAAACATATAATATTTAAGTACTATAACTATTAACTAAGCCAGCCTATTTAGCCATAGCCCAGTCAAGAGAATTCACAATTGTGCCTGTGTGCCCCCTACTCCCACAACACTACAGTTAGAGATTCTTGAGGGGGGGGGTTCGTTGCTCAACATGACCTCCTACTATGCTACTTTGCATTTAACTGACATGCAAAGCAACCAAGCACAAATGATTTAGCATGATGTGTGGGGAAGACCTAGAGGTGGCTGAAAAAAATGTAACACCACAATACTAAGAAGTTTTTAAGGTACTCGCTCAGTATTAAAAGGTAAAGGTATTTCTTTTTTTCTTCCATCAGATTAGCTGGAACAAAGCAGTGCCTGGATAAATAAACAATAGTGACCCTAATACACAATATTACGATAAAACTAACTATACACAAAAGCAGAACGCTTCAGTTCTAGACTCATTCGAATCGTTGCTTTTATGTGTAAGTCACACATAAATATTACTGCCTGCTACAGGGCTGAACCATTTGGGGGAAAATATTCAATTGTGATTTTTCCAATACTGCAGATTTAAATGCAGTAGTTTTCTGTAGAATCAGAATCAGAATCATTTACTGGCCGCATATAATTTAATTTCCAGGCTTGTTTTTTTTTTTGTTGTCCAAGAAGACCAGAATATACACCTTTCTGGGATGAAGCTTGAACGCTGAGTGTGTCAGACTACCAGTTAGTTGTGATGTCACACATACAGAACATGGGTATTTTGTTGCTTCTGATTGGCCTAATTCACCTACTGGCAGCTTACAAGCTCTTTATCATCAGTTTGATTTTTTTCCCCCATTTAAAATTTGTTAACACAACATTGTTGATAATGTATTATATATAAAAACTGCATCTCTTGCGATTTAAAAATTGAACTCCTTCAAATTGTGATTTCGATATAAAAACGACTAATCTTGCAGCTCTAGCCTGATAGCCGAGAAACATAGTTCTTCTGAAAATGTTAAAGCTAACACACTTCAAAATAATGTTTAAAATAAAAAAACAAACACGGAAAATAATAACTATATTACAGAAGGCTGCACAGGAAACCCAGGTAACAGTGGGCTGGGACCGTGTCAGCAACAAAACAAAACAAAAAACAAAACAAAGGCACCTACGCATTAGCTAACTAGCTAAACAGGTTAAAGAGCCCGTTAACTAACGTTACATTAATCAGAGTAAACAGCGAATCCACCGTATTTAACAGGACAAACACCGAACAGAAACAGCCCGCAGTCAAACGGCGGACTCAATACACACTTTTTTCCTGTCCAAATTTCCCTTTTTCAGCGGAGCCAGTTTAGCCAGCTCGCTTTTTATTCTACTTTTCCGTTCCACCTTAAATGGCGCAGTAGTTACAGGCTGCCGCTGCTGCAGCACAATGGAACTGCCGCGCTGTTTAAGGTGGACAGGGAAATTCCAACACGACGCTGGCGAACAGGAAGCGAACTTCCGCGTCGCCGCCACTTCTTATTCCCGTCTCTTCAAAATCCTCCTGGACACGCCTAAAAACAGCCTCATAATCCTCCTTAAAACTGGACCAAACGTCGAATTCTGTTCCGTTAAAATCACCAACAACATCGTTTACTTACGGTTCAGGTACTTCAGCCCGAGAGCCGACGCTCAGAAACAAAACCCCGTACGGCCTCAAATCCTGTCCGTATAGGAACCGACTAACAATCGTTCCCCCTGTAACCGTGACCAAACTGATTTGAGGGGCCAAAGTGGTGGGCATGTTTGTGGTGGGCCGAGGGCTAAAATACGGAAGTCCAGAGCACGGAGCCCTGCTGGTGACATCCCATATTAATAAAAATAAAGTGTGGCCACAACTTAGCAAGGCGTGGGAATGAGATAAGAAGTCGTGGCCATGACTTAGTAAGGTGTGGGGACGAGATCCTAATGCAAGCCACGGCTTAGTAAGGCATGGGAATGAGATAAGAAGTCATGGCCATGACTTAGTAAGGTGTGGGGACGAGATCCTAATGCAAGCCACGGCTTAGTAAGGCGTGGGAATGAGATAAGAAGTCGTGGCTATGACTTAGTAAGGTGTGGGGACGAGATCCTAATGCAGGCCATGGCTTAGTAAGGCGTGGAAATGAGATGATTAAGCCTGACCACAGCCTAATAAGGCATGATCTTGTTTCCACCCCTTACTAAGTCGTGGTAACGACTTTATTATCTCGTTCCAAGGCCTTACGAGATAGCAAACTTGTTATCTTGATCTTGTTATCAAGATAACAAAGTTGTTATCTTGACATCACAACACGATTAAGTCGTGATCTCAAGATAACACTCCGGAAGATTATAGCCACAGCTCATGGCCTCTCTGGACTTCTGCACTAAAAAGACAAAACTGTATACAAATAAAGAAGATAGGTGGGTTTCAGATTTGTACATTTTTATTTCATAACTATATTTTGCTACTAAACCACTATTTTAAAATGAAAATAAATATTTAAGAAGTGATTCAAAGTATAAAAAAGTTTTTCTCTTTGGGCACTTTTTATAGCAGGTTCCCAGCTCCACTCATGTAAACCACCTCGGTATGTATTTCACAAAGCAGGCCAGCTCAACAATCAGGGCTGTTTCTGAACATTTGGGGGCCCTGAGCAAGATTCTTCTAGCTCGCCCCCCCAACCCAAACCAGTGCCATCATTTTGCATGAAAGAATGAAAAATAATGGATATGTAATTCATCCTAAACAGGAGCAACTGTTTAACAAATGACAAGTTAGATGCATTAAAACAACAACAAACTATACAAGCAAAACAGAATCTTTAAACTACTAAATTTGATAAATAAACCAAATAAATATGGAAGTAAAGACATCAGTTGTCATCCATTTTTCTGTCAATATCATGACAGATAAATACAATACATTATTATAAATATGCAGAACTGGAGAGCCTGAGACCAGCAGTAAGGTGTACAGGAGTGTGAATTGTTCTGTGAGTGCAGACTTGGGTACATTAACTATGCAAATTACATGTAAACTGTGAAAGAGTGTGGCATTGTGCAGTACAGCTTTATGCAAATAAGATGTAAAGTAGCAGCAGCACAGCTGTCACGAACAGCATTCAGTGTTCAGGTGATAAACCATTTCAAACAACAGCCTAACATACATTTATTTTCATATGTCCTGCTGGTGGTCCACGTGCCACCAAAACAGCTCTGACCCACCGAGACATGGACTTTACAAGACCTCCGCAGGTGCCCTGTGGTATCCGGCAGCAGATCCTTTAAGTCCTGTAAGTTGCGAATGGAGCCGATCCGACTTCTTGTTCCAGCACATCCCACAGATGCTGGATCAGATTGAGATCTGGGGAGTTTGGAGGCCAGATCAACACCTCAAACTCGTCATCATGTTCTCCATTCCCGAACAATGTGCGCAATGGGGCGGGGCACATTATCCTGCTGAAAGAGGCTCACCTGCCATGAGTGGTAGATACTGACAGTTGAAAGAAAGAGACTGAAATGTATTAACCCTTAAACTTCAGGCTCATTAATCTTAGGGTTTATTATCTACTGCTTTAAGCTACTTAACTACTTCAAAGTGTTTGATTACTACTATGATACTAATATGTAAGGTATGTAGTAAAGAGTTCTTTGTGCCAAATACAATTTGTTCTCTGTGTGTGAAATTGTAAAATCTGGAATATGTATATCAATATTCTATCCCCTGTGCGCCCTGCATCTCATTTATCTACCTCAGACTCACAAATTGCATATGTGGAAACGCGTACAACATAAAATAGCTTTATTTTACTTATATTACTGTACAAAAACTGTACATTGGAATGGTGCAATACCGGCGTATACTAATGTGTGTACTGTGTATATGTGTATATATTTAGAGTCTAACGTGTATATATATATATATATATCTATATATATATATATATATTTTGTATATTTAAGTACTACAAGCGGGCTATGTTATCACTCTGTGTTGAGCTGTTAGCGAGCAATGATGGGCAAAAGGGGTGTGAGGACCCCCCTGAAAACAATTTACACCTCTCCACAAAGACGGCTGTGCCAAGATAATCTTCATATGTGCAGCTTTCTTAATGGCAAAAAATCTTGCACAACTGCAACAAAATAAAACATCATTTAAGCACAATAAAAAACACTTCTATAAATGTCAACAGCTGTTACATCAACTTGTTTATCAGAGTTGTGGGGTGGCACATATAGACGTTTGGCAAATTGACAAGTTGACACATATTAATGCACTGGATGATGAGATTACATTCCTGTCCTTGTTCTGTAGTGTGGTTTGGTTGGTGGTTTCCCTCCAAATATAACCTAAATTTTCCTTATATAAATTTTCCTTATTTTAGTCCCTTTTCCTTCCTAACCTAAAAAATCACGTATAACTACAACAAAACAGCATTTAAGCACAATAAAAACACTTCTATAAAGGTTGACTTTCTTGCTCACCTACGAAGAAGAAAATCCAATTCAGCTTTGTTTTGTAAATTATACACATTTACATTAACATATATTTCCCCCTGAAAAAAGGTACCGAAATAAAAAGCATAGTTGAACTGAAGGACCTCCAAAACAGGCAGAAATTGCAATTTACAGCTACTGTGAAAAGGAGTAAAGGAAACAATGAAAATGAGGGAGAGATACAAAGATAAATTAGAAGAACAGTCTTGGTTCTATACAGTTTTGTAAACCACATAAAATGTCGGTGTAGCTAAAAAAAAGCATGTCACACCAACAGCACCATGTCTTAATAGAAGTACTGCCTTTATTAGTGCTACACTGTCAGAGACTGAATTACTGCATCCATTTACAAAATTACAATGCATGTAAGATCTAACATTACAACACATGCCCAATAACGACCAAAAAGGACGGAGGTACACTGTCAAAAATAATTTATAAATATATAAGAAGTAAATTACAGAAGACACACTGAGAGATCAGCAGCTTCTAAACAAAGAAATTTCTAAGATAGCAATAAAAGTCTGTTATGCATGTTTATTAATAAAGTCCTGTGAGGTAGGCAATAGCAGAGTTACAATAAGAAGGGAAATTCCACCGATTTTTCAAAATGCCTGCATAATTAAATGCTTAAGATGTAAACAGAGTCATTCAGAGTGGTTTGTTGTGAAACGCTCTATTCTAGATAAACTTACCGAGTCAGACTTGTTCACAGTGGTAGTGATAGGAACCACATGTCCTCCTCAATATGTACACGTTGACTGATGAATGACACATTATTTTTGATAGTTATATGAAAAAGATTTGGCCTAAAACCTCTTGTTAATCCATTTATTCAGTGCATTCATGGTGGAGGGGTACATGCAGAGCGCTGTGAGGCAAAATAGTCCACAAATAAAACTTTTTTTTTTCAGATTCATCTCTATTTTACCATCATTTACATTCCATATAAACTCAGAAGACTCGTGTAGGCTCAGTGGTGGTTTTGGACAGTAAATAAAATGGCTATATTTGTGTTGTAGTCATTGCAACCCCTGGTTCCTATCACCACCACTGTAAAGAAATCTGAGTGTAATTTTCTCTGCAATGGACCGTTTTACATCAAAGCACTCTGAGTGACTTTGTTGACGTTTCGACCACTTAATTATGCAAAAAGTAAAAAAAAAATCAGTGAAATTCCCCTTTATGCCAAGGGCTGTAACGTGTAACGTGTACAGATATTTGTTTTCCGGCTGTTAGAAGTGAGTCTGAGACCTGAGATGATCGCAGTAAGCAAACATTTTAAGCAGATCTGCTCAAGCCTCTTCACAAAGGGTTGGGGGAGGAGTACTGGGGGGACGCTGGTAGCTTTCAGAATGATATGGCTCACCCTGTTTTGCACATTCTCCAGCAGTGCTAACAAAGCACGGCTAAGATCATCATGGCATGCAGGGACTGCACACTTCAGCACCAGTCTGAGTCTGATGAAGCCACTAGAGAGGGCTAATAGGGCTAATAGGTCAATTTGCATTAACTGAAAAATGTATAATGCACTTAAAAATGGACAGCTTATTAATAAAAAAGAGGTGATACCGGTGATGGGCTTTTAATGAAAGTGTGGAAGGCTGCTACATCCAACATGCTAATGCGATCTACACATTTCCACACTGTGTTATGAGCGTTAGGTGCCATCTATCAGAATAAAGAAGAGAAGGTGGGTTTGGAGAGTCACTCTAGATGTAAGGTACTTTAAATACCTCATTAGTTCACTCTTGTTTAAAAATAATGAACTTAAATAGTTCTTTTGTATTCCTAGACGTGTCTACCCAGTTGGCGCCACTGGAGGGCCAAACATTCAGTGATTTTGCCAAATGAGAGTTCAGATAGAAGTATCCTGACTTAATGGGTTTCTAGTGTGAAACTAGAGGGCGCTGATCTCACAGGCAAGGTCCTTCAAGATTTTCTAGACCACGGACCTGCCCACTTCAGGTGGTATTTGGAATTCACACTGTCAACAGCGGTTGCATCAACTTTATCAAAGACCTGGGGTGGTTCACATAGATTGCTGGCAATTTGACAAGTGGACACGTTTGAAATGGATATTGGTCACTGGATGGTGAGATTAAACTGCTGTCCTTGTTTTGTGGTGTGATTTGATTGGTGGTTTTCCTCCATATAATCTTAATTTTCCTTTGAATATCTTTTTTTCCCTTTGGCCTAGAAGAACTGAAGTACTTGCACAGCTGCCCTAAGAAGACCACCTAGATGGGTCCAGTTTGCATTCTG